TTCCCTTGGGGGAAAGATATGATACGGCACCTGGCGCCTCGGCCGTGTCGCAGATATTTTCGCTACAGGATCATGCATATTACTGCCGCATCGAGTATGCTGAAGTGTAAAAAGTTTTATCACCTTCAGTCGTAATGCCTCACACTCCCCTCTCACGGTTAGGGCAACGTTCGGTACCCTAGATAAATTAAAGGCATTCATAGATACCTACCATGTCCTCCTTCAACGAAAAAGTAGTCGCGTTCAAACTCGAAGCCATAACTGCGTAGCCGCTTCAAGAAATCGCGGTAATAAACCTGAACACGAGAAGTGATAACTCCTACCAATAAATATCTCGCAGAAACAAAACCAACCTTGGCAAGTTGCAATTGGTCGGCACGATGGCTAGGCTCTGTTGTGGTATTATGATGAGCGACACCAAGGTAGCAAGGGATGAGAAGAAACGGAATGGAAGAAGTCGCAAGATCTTCTACCTGATTGTGAATTTTAAACTGGTCACTATGCGTAACTGAGGGCTGTCGTACTAATGTCAACCCCCCCCACCTCCCCAATATATAACAGCCAACAGATAAGTAATAAAGAATAAGTCGCTTTCTGTCCCACCCTGTGCTAGTAAACCACACCCTGTGCTAACTACCAGTAAGTACGCATTCATAGTCGGTCGTGCGCTCGTAACGATCGCAACGATCGCACAGCATTCGATGCGTATCGATCTTTTGCCCGAGGAGTGGACAATCATCTAGCGTTGCACGATCGCTACAACCATTACAATCGCACGACCGACTACGAATACGTCCAAAATAACAGAGATTTCATACACTTGAAGCTCATTACTGTCTGTTTCTTACCTCCTCATTGTCGGAGAATAAGCCGAGCGTAGACACGGCATGAGTAAGCTTTTCGAGGATGCTGACAGCTTCCGAAATGCGAGTCTGAATGAACATTTCTTCACTACATTAGAAACCCTCCTTAACTACCAAGTGAGAACACCTAGTTTTCTTCATGAGCTTCACAGCCTAATGTTTGGGCTTTTTACATCTTAATGCAGAATTTGGGCGTAATTTTCGTGCAAGATTAAATTAAATACATGTTAAAGCGAGAGATTGGAGGCTCTGTAGTCAGGGCTCCGAAAAAGCGAATTGTGGTCTTTTCGTAGCCAAAGGGACGCTAGTTCAGCGCCCGGGGCGGCAATCCTCTCTGAGCTCCGCTTCCGCCGCCTATGCTCCGCCCATCAGTATGTTGTTAGCGGCATCACTGTACTTACCATTCTGATGTGATATTCACTTTGAGTGTGTATCCTATAACTTTTCCATGGAATGCGCCATCAGATCAGAGCACGACTTTGCTGGAATTGTAGAACGTGGATCGGTTTCATCGATGTGTAAACGCACCTGTACTTGATGCTAGCTCATGCGCAAACTCGAAGATCGCGTCAACGCGCAAAAAAAAAAGAGGTTTCAATTTACGCGTTCTCGGATTTCTTTGCTTTTTTCACCACTGTGGCATTGTTCAGCATTCCCACTTCTACTATGAACCCAACCCAATCTTACCGTGATCTCTCGCTTTGCATGTCAGTATCACAAAAAATCGGAACTAGCCATTACGCTATCCTTTTTTGCATAGCACGCGCGACTGTAAGGCTGATAGCTCATAGAGCATTTGCGAATCGCGCGTTTCGCTAGCGTCTGCGGGCGCGTTGCGGCCAGTGAATCAACTCAAGGCACTGGCATGGCGCGCTTAACGCGACCGGGATCGTTAGCGTAATGCGCCGCGAATCGCCCAGCCGTAGAGGAATCGCGATTCAGCAAGGTCGCTGACGGTGCGCTTTAAAAGTTGTAGTGTACTTTTTCTATCTTGAATATTGGATTTTTACAATAGGTGAACCTATAACTGCATGATTTAAGATCGGTTTCACGAGTAGCTGGATCCGCGATAGGGACAACAAATTCTAAACTGCGGGGACAATTATCAGCCAGACTAGGCTGACAGAAAGTTATATAGGCCGGTTAAAATCGATTAGCCGCGGAAACCGACCAACTTCCTATGTCATTTATATCACGTCTTTCGGGCCCTTTTTAAAGCTGTACGGGTGTCAGCGTTTCGTCAGTTCATCAAAATCACCGATGTGATTTAGTTTGGATCATCTGAAATTCTAAGCCTTTTCCAATTAGAATTAAGAGCGAAGAAACCGCAATTATAGTGCGTGGCCGAGTTGTCGGATAATACAAGAAGCAGAGCAAGTCCACCTAGCAACCAGCATCGCGGTGCGCAGTTTGGTGGTCCAAATGGACACCGAAATACTGTAATGAAATCGCACTATACACGGTTGTAAAAGACAAGAGAGAAAATAAGAAGCTGCTAGCACACAAGGCATCTTACTGATCAAATTTTTTTCTCGTCTGGGGCTTACAGAGGCGCTTGGGCCAAAGAGAGGCTTCTCACAGTTCCGTGACAGGACAATCGATAGACCCGGGGCAGACGATCGGTTTCCAAAATTTTCAAAGTCCATTCTTTGTGCTCTCTTACTATATTACTTGCTGAACAAGCGTTTGTAGAGACATTTGCCCGATCTATCTTCTTGCCACCACTCAATGTTTGTATACTAGGGCACTAGAAATTTCACGAAAGCAGGGGTGGACATGCTTGAACCGTGCTTCAAACATTTGCTAATCACATTATTTCTTTCCGTCGACCAGGTACAGGCGTATTGTGGCGCGTACGGTCGAGATGCGCGATGAGCTTCAACCTCACTTGCCTTCTAATTCTTCGCTGTCCATCAGCTTTTATGGAGTCAAAGATTCTTCAAGTCATCAAGAATTCTATCGGTACATCTTAGAGTTTTCGCTGCAGTTTTTGTAGTTCTCATTATGCTAGTCAAATAGCAATGTGACTTGCGTTCGTTTCAGTTTACACTCCGAAGAATGCTCCTTGTGTACAGCGGGGTCCATTCGGGATGCACTGCGACCACTCCCGAAGAAAAAAAAACGCGCCCGTTTAGTGGCCAAAAAAAGGAAAGCATGCGCTGCCGCGTGTTAATTTGATTGCAGCTCTACAAGATGAGCACAGGAAAACACGCAATGAAATCTGAGGGTCGAATCATACTCTGCAGTTCAGCTTACTCTGCGTGCGTTCATAGGTATGTATCGATCGAAAATTCCATGCGATCGCACGATCTACATATTTGTTCCACACTCGAACTGCAAGGCGAACTGCGAAGTATGTTACTACCCTGACGGCGAGAATATCAAACTGCAGAGGTTGCTTTCATACTGTTGAACTTCACACAAATTTACTTGAATACACTCAATAAGAGCAACAAAAGCCGAGTATGAACGCAGACTGGCCGATTTAGCGAACCGACGATTTCGCGACCGGAAGCGCTGCGGTTGCGGTAATCCGCGCCATATTGGTTGGGAAACGAAAAAGGAGGAGAGAGGAAGGAGGAAAAGGGAAAGGAAAAAAAGCAGAAACTGATTGACGCACAATGAATGTCCGGAGACAGTGACGTTCTTGGACAATATTCATAGTTCGCGCCATCCCGCACCAACAGATGAAATGCATATTGATTGGAAAAAATGCGGAATCCGATTCCACACAAAAGACAAGGTCAACAAATTGAACGAGTTCGGATCGTTTCGCTTGTTCCGTGATAGGTCAAATGCGAACATTATAGCAATGACCGTTGCCACTGCTATGCATCGCTGAAGTGAGATATTTCTATTATTTACGACCATGGAGAACTACAAGAAATGAATCGGTACATAAAGAGAAGAATAGCCAGCAATCTCAAATTCTCCTAATCAACACACACCCTTCCCTCACTAAATCCACAAGAACCCAAAA